GACTCTGAGCCAAACATTTTAACCTCTGCTCTGTCACTGGCTTGCTGTGTAATATTAGATCTTGGGCAAATAACTTAATCTCTATGAGCCTCTGCTTACTCCACTGGGAAAATGCAGCCACACTCACATTTACTTGTTTTTATAAGGCTAAGACTGGGGTCAGCGGCCTTTTCAAACCAAAGAGCCAAACGGCATCAAAATTCAGAACAAGTGGTCAACAAAGAGCTGTATAAAATGCCCATTTGCATAACTGAAAATATACAACTTAATATTATTGATAATTTACATACTACTAAATAATAGCATAAATGAAACATTCTCTCAGACTTTATTTACTCGAACTTCTGCCGCTGCATCTTTTCATGCATTTCTTTGATGTTTACGTCATAACTGGCCAAATCCAGTTCCATGCACGCATTCAGGCTGTCTTCTGTCAAATCTTATGGCAGGAAGCTGGTGATGCGGGGATGCAGGAGTCAGGGTTGAGGGGCTCAAGGCAGGGGATTTGGGTGTCCGAGGGACTCAGGGCACAATGTTGGGGTGTCTGGGGGTGCAGGAGTGTTATAGCAGGAGACTGTGGTTGTGGGGGTGCAGGAGTTTGGGGATGTGGGGGTATGAGCAGCTAGGATTGCCAGATGGTTTAACCAAAAATACCGAACACCCTTCCCCCCCCCCCAAAAAAAAAACACCAGAGAAAAAATTCTGTTGAGAAAAAAAAAAAGGGGGAGACCAAAGTTGTTGAGGAAAAAAAAAGGACCCCGAGAATTAAGCAAAAAATAAAAAATAAAAATAAAAATACAAAAAAAAGCATGGCGCCTTTAAGGACTTCAGGGAGCTATCTTATTTTCCTGATCTGAGCCAGAAGACCATTCCCCTGTGGAACCAGAGAAGTGGGGGTCCAGAGGGTCCCGGTTGCTGAGTGTGTTTAGGGTTGCCAGGTATTCTCACCTCCTGGCAGAGAAAAAAAATCAGTTGGGGTGTGTGGGGAGTGCAGGAGAGTTAGACACTGTGGTCAGATGGGGGCTGTGCCCCAATTGGGGGCTTGTTGGCCAGGCTTCATTTTTAAATAAAGTAAAATATTATGTCTAACACAAAAGGTTTCAACATTGTCTTTATTTATGGAAGTAGTGGGGAACCTTTTTTGGGTTGGGGCCACTGACCCACAGAAAAATCAGTTAGGGACCAAACAAGTGAGAATAAAAAACAAAACAAAATCTTCCCCAAACCCTCAATCCTCACTGATGTGACCCCCACCTGAAACACCTCACTCCCCTGATGCTCCAGGCCCACAGTGGGGGAAGGGGCAGGGAAGACTGGGGTTCAAGACCTCAGGCCAGATTTTCTGGAGTTCTAAGATTAGTGGATTTTGTGGGGCCTCCTGCGCTCTGAGGTGGGGCCATAAATGAGGGGTTATGTGTGCAGGACGCAGCTGCCAGTGAATGGGGTAGGGATGGGAGTGCAGGATCTGGGAGGATGTGGGGTATAGGAGGGGGTGAGGGTACAAGGTCTGCCTGGGGGCAGAAGTGTACCGGGGGCAGGCTGCCTAGCAAGGGGAGATTCTAGCCAGCAGGGCTGTGGGGAGAGGCAGGGAGTAGGGAGGATTTTGGCCAGGGGACAGGAGCTGTCTGGCTGGGGTGATGAGTGAGGGGTTGGTCTCGGCATGAAGGGGTGGGGTGCATGCACTTGTTTGCACGCTGCGTGGCAGGCACCACCTGCTGCTCCCATTCCCCAGAAACCTCCAGGCAGGATTTCCAGGAGAAACCTCCAGGGAAGTGTTTTCTGAAGGAACAAAAAAGGGCAGTGCACAGGGAGCCATTTTGATGACTTGTTTTCCACATGCGGAGGGAAGGAAAAGAGCAGCACACCGAGACATTATTCACTCTGCTTTGCCTTACTCTGCACGGCGCCTCGGGGCTTTCTTCCCCCGCCCGCCCGCCCAGGAAGCCGGTGCTGATGCTCCAGTCTTATGGAGCCGGGAGGCTGCAGCACCAGCCGAGGAAGCCGGTGCTGATGCTCCAGTCTTATGGAGCCGTAAGGTTGTAGCACCAGCGTGGGCTCCCTTCTGGGGGGTGGCTGAGTTGGGGCTGCAGAAGAGCCATATCTGGCTCCCTAGAGAGCCGCAGGTTGTCGACCCCTTATTCTCATGTCTAAGTGTAGCTGTTCTTTTTTCAATACATCTGCGCGCACAGTGTCACTGTACACAATTCTGTGCGCGCTACCAGAAGTGGCACACACAGTTACTGTTCTGGCCAAGGTAAATCTGTGGCAGGCCCTCATGCCCAGGTCCACTAAGGTATTTAGGTGGTGTTATGTCTGCAATTGCAGTGCGAGTCTTTTGAGCACCCACAAAGTCACTGGTACATGATCCACAAAGCTTGAATGAGGCGCCTCAACTTCTATACAGTGAATGTGGAGAAACAGGGGATTCAGAATGCAATCCACAAAGCCAGCATGCTAGGCAGGGAGCTGCCTAAGCTAATCTTTTTGGCATAGCCCATTGAAAGATGTGTCCTAAACTCTGCTCTTCTCAGAAATAGGCACCTAAGTCTGAGCTGCAAGGAGGTGCGCTGGCAGCTTGTGACCCATGGATAGGAATCCCTCTCCTGGAGGCAGGCGACGTAGGTATCCAAATTCTTTCTCTTGACAATGAGCTAGGTAAACTCCTAAATCCAACTGAAACAGCAATGAGGTGGGGGCTGGGAAAGACCTCCATTATAACGCTTAGCTCAGTGGCAAGGGTGAGGTGAAGGAGCTCCCTTAGGGCTTGTCTACACTACAGAGAAGTTTGAAGACGACATAGTCAATATTCCGGGGTTCGAATTAGCAGGTCTAGTGAAGGCATGCTAATTCGAACTGGGCATGTGCTCCTGCAGGCACCAGTAGTCCTGCTTCTCACAAGGAGTTAGGGAAGAAAATGGGAGCATGTACTCCCCTTGACCGCCCGCTCTGTGGATGGTGCCAAAACATGATTTAAGATACTTTGACTCCAGCCATATAATTAACATAGCTGGAGTTGCATATCTTAAGTCGACTTTCCCCTTTAGTGTAAACCTGGCCTTATTTACTTTAACCCAGTGGCTAGGGTACTCACCTGGGATCTAGGAAACCATTCTTGTGAGACAGGATTTACATAGGAATTTACCACTTCTCAGGGTTAGGATGGGATACCCTAATGTGGAGCGCCTGCTGCCTCTTCCGTTGAAGTTGTTCCACTTTAATGATATAATAAATTATTAAATATTAATTGGGCCAGTGAGAGAATGAGACAATCTATAGCTGAGTAGCTACACGAATCACCTGAGAACAGAAATCTCATTTGTTCAAATCCCTTCTCCTCCTCATGGAGGAAGAACTGGATCCAGGGTCTCTCCCAATACTAGACTAAACATTACAAAGGAGGTAATTCTCTCCCCCTAGCCATTTTGCATGTGGAGCTGAATGGCCTCTGAACACATCTGTTGGATTGACAGGTAAACACCTATCTTCCCCTGGTTTGTGAAATGCTCTTCATCTTAAGGGGAGGCTGCAGTGAGCATGCCCAGAGACAGAAACATAGACACCTAACCAACTTCTAGTGCAACAGCTTAGGCACCGAGTGCCTTTATGCACCTATAGGGTTTGTGTGTTAGATGCTTAAGCCTGAGAGTTCAAGTACCTTTGTGGATCCAAACCTCAGTGCAGTGGGACTGTTGTGTACAGGAAACCCGTGCCTGGCAGACAGAAATGTAGCCGTGTTAGTCTGGTGTAGCTGAAACAAAAAACAGGACTATGTAGCACTTTAAAGACTAACAAGATGGTTTATTAGGTGATGAGCTTTCATGGGCCAGACCCACTTCCTCAGATCAAATAGTGGAAGAAAATTGTCACAATTGTGTCCTTTTCATATGTGTTCATTTTTTTAAATTGTATCCTTTGGTATATATGATTGTGACAATTTTCTTCCACTATTTGATCTGAGGAAGTGGGTCTGGCCCACGAAAGCTCATCACCTAATAAACCATCTTGTTAGACTTTAAAGTGCTACATAGTCCTGTTTTTTGTTTTGGCAGACAGAGGCATTCTCAGGATTGGGACAAGGCTAGTAGATCTGCAGCTACAAACTTAGCCCATACATATTCCCTCCTGGAGATGATGTGCACAGCAGCCATAGTGCTGCTGTAATAGCTCCTGCTGACTAGGAGTGAGCAGGTAAAAAGAAGAATTCCATCCTCCTGCAAGTCACATTTGTTCACCCTGAGCCAGGTCATTTTATGACATTTCATCTCTCCTGCTTGCCACAATTAAAAAATGGTTTTAAAAATACCATGCTCATCATCTGTTGATTTTTGGTGTTTTCTTATTGCATCAGTTGTTCTTCTTAACATGATGTCACAACAATGAAAGAATGCTTTGCTCCTGCAATCTTTTTAAATGCTTTTTATTTGAGCGGTTGCACATTGGGTGAATAAACTTAATGTTACAACAAAAATATAATGGATATTTAACAGATTGCTAATGGTTTCAGTGAAAAGTATGAAAGAAGGGATTTCTTTAAGTGTTATTGAAATATTCAATATAAGTGCAGTCAATTACATTTTATATGACAGAGGCAAATGATAAGGTATTTTGGTGAAGTGCTATTTCATTTATAGAAAATAAATACTGAGACATCTCAAGTAACTTGAAATCACATCTCAGCTATAGTATTCATTATTTCAATGTTGGCCCATCTTATGGTTCTTCCTGGGGAGTTTATTTAGTTCAATTAAATAAAGCATTCATGGTTCACACATTGTCATTATAGTTTCTTTTTAAAATATATAAAAAATTTGGCAAATAATATTTATACAGAAAAATAGTTTTAGATCTTCCCAAATTTGTAATTGATCTAAAAATTATTTTGTTAATAAATAAAATGTTGTATATTTGCACATCTGTGTAATTGCCTCCTTATTGTTAGCACAGGTCTGTACTTGTACAATTTTTAGGACTATCACAAAGTTACAAAGTTGGAAAGTGGCTTTCATATTAAAAATACATTTTTTTCTTTTGTTTTGTAGGTTTGTCTGGATGCAAGACTTGAAGTATCTGAAGCTTTGTCACGAATGGGCAAAAAATAGTAGTACTGAAGTAATTATAAAAAAACTATAGAATAATTATCATGAAACATAAAAAGTTTGCACAAACAGTGTTTTAGAGAGTCCTCTACATAAAATATTTAAACAACATGGATAATTTACCATTTAGTCTTTTACAATAAGCTACCAAAATGTCTAAATGAACTATTATTAAAAAAAATAAAAACAACTTTGACAGATTTAGGCAAGTTGCAATGTCAACTACCTAGTTATAATGACTGAGAAAGTCTACAAATATTAGTGTTTTAATAGTACATAATGGTGATACCTTAACTGCTAAAGTAACAAGTTAAGATACATGTTTTCCCCCACAAAATAAAACAAATGCAACATTACAACCACTATGTTAATTTTACAATCAGATTGTGATTTTTTTTTCTTTTGGGTGATCAGATCTACAGCTTTAATATAAATAGATAGTAATCAGACATTTGACAAACAAAATTTAGAATGAAAAACAATTTTCTAGACAAATAATCATTCCATTAGTGCCTCTAGTGCCTTTCAGAAAAGGCAGTGCTGCCAAAGTTTAAAACAGTTTACAATCAATCTGAAAAGGTTAAGTTAAAATACTGCAATCACTAACAATGTTCACATAGAAAACTGATGTTGCCAACAATTATACATAATATTCACTTATAACAGCTGTTTTGATTTTTAAACAATAATTTAAAAACTATGTATTTGTAATGTGTGCAACGTACAAAATGTAAAATATGAAATATTTGGTACAGTAGTGCTGGAAATAAATCTTAAACCAAACCTAAATGAAATTTTATTGTACATATATAATTACCATGTAAATCAACAATGTATTTAAAAAAGTAAACAACATTAAAATCTATTTAGTCCATATATATGTATGTATGTATATATATAATATGTATATAGTTGTATTAAAGATATCTTCATATTTCTGTGACATAAAATATGTTTTTAAAGAAAAAGTTTAAAAGTACTATTTTTTTCTTCCATGCTGTAATCCGGTTACAACCCTTTAATCCAATTTTTAAAAATGCAAGATCAGTAATGATTTATTAAACTGAAACTCTCCCTACATTTTTAATGTTTAGTTAATAGTCTAGATTAAAGTCACTTATCAGGTCTTCAGTGACTGAACTCAATGTTAGTTAAAGTAAAGTATCTTCCAAATCTCCTCACCTTTTTGTTGTTGTTTTTGATAGAAGTTGCCTCAACAACAATTTGACTCTTTTAGGTAACCTGACTGAGCATTTAAAAGATTAGTCACTTATTGTAGATTAGATTGTTGGCATTAGCCTCACTTGTTTCAAGTGTGATGTGGGAAAATTTAGGCACTTCTGCAAAGTCTCTTTAAAAAACATTATAAATATATTCATAAAATAATATTTTCAAGACTTTGTTGTGGGGGTATGAAGTTCATACCGTGCAAAGTTTTAATTTTTTTCTGTTGTCCCATGATTCAATGCAGCTTCTCTATACAAGTCAATTATCAGCTTACATGCATCTAAAGAATTTGTGCTTTATATTCGATTTACTATGTAAAATTTAGACTTATAGGGTAATGAGTGGGGGTAGTGGGTTTTGTTTCACTTCCTTTCTTTGTCTTGGAGTCAACTGACTAGGGAAGTAAACATAGGACTTCTTGTTTTTCTGCTTGGTTAAAATAATAATTAGGGTTAGAAATCAAACCTGCAACTGGAATATATTTTAGTCAATGTAAATTAATTATTGCTAAACTTGAAAGATTCATAAAATTGTGAATCTTACATTACTAAATTAATGGGACCATTTCCATTAGCTGTAGTTATGGAGACAATAAATATTCCTATGAAGTAAACTGTGTTTATAAAATCTTTAAAAGTAAAATGTTACCCTTTATGTCTTGAAACATCACAGCTGGTATCAGGTAGTTAACTATTTTAGGTTGGAATATATTAAGCATACCATATTTAATAATCATATATAATACAGCAGCACTAGCTTTTTAGAATTTGTGATCTGTCCATAAGAACAAAATCTTGTTTATTTAGCATGCAGTTTGTGGCAATTCTAGAGAGGAAGAGACAGGATAGTATGTACAATAACAATGTTTTGTCACTCTCAGTGAGGCCTCTTGACATTTCATTCCATTTCTGCTGATTATTTCAGGATTATCTGTAAAGAAATGAAATTATTACTGGATTTTTTGATTATTTTATCTTTTTAAAAGAAAACCACTACACTACAATTTATACTTTGGTCTCTTAAAATTAAGACACAGATTACACATGGTTTTCACCATTGACTTATGTTGGGTTTAGGCTTTTGCATTTCACAAAATTGTCCTTTTCCTCTCATTTACAGACTCTCAAGAGGATGAAATCAGACAAAGGGGATATTATATTTGAAAATATCAGTTACAGTTCCTCATTTTTCCAACATGAGAAAAGTGAAAAAGAAAAATATCAAAGTGAGACATGAAAGAGTACCCTAAATACTCCTTGAAATGTACAGAAATTGAGGGTACAGGAGGAAGTTACTTATCAAGTGTGGGACCAGTGTTAATGAGTGCAATTCAGTCAGGCTGGATATGGCTCCCCCCCCGGCCTTGGCGGGGGGGTGGCGGGGGGGGGGGGGGGGAGGAGGAGGAGCATGGTTTTTAAAATTTCAGTATACTAGAGCTCAAGAGGGACCTGTGTTCTGCAGGTCAGTCATTTTATTTCCAACACAGCAAAGGTTAACAGCTTTAATTTAATGCCACCTCCCCACACACTGTACAGTTTTGGAAAACAAACCAGATTGCCACCATCCCTCCCAATAGGTTCACTATTTCATAAAGAGGCTAGCTTTCATACCAGATATAAAAATCACTACCTGGGGGACATCACACAATATCTCACCATCGCCATGTCTCCACTTCATAGCTAAAAGTGAAAAGGTTTGTAAGTACAAGGTTTGTGCTGAGATGCCCCTTTTTCCTGTTCAACTGGGCATTCAATACATTTTAAGCCATATTTGTAAGTAATCTATAAGGGCATGTCTACACAGCAGGGCTAAAGCCAAAATAAGCTATGCAACTTAAACTACACAATTGACGTAAGTTCAAGTTGAAATAGCTTATTTTGGCTTTTGGCACTGTCTACACAGCAGGAAGTCCGAGAAAGAGCATTCTTCCTCCTACTTCCCTTACTCTTCATAAAATGAGGGTTATAGCAGTTGGAGCAAGAAGTCCTCCAGCTTGACATTAGTTTGACATTATGTTGAAATAACTGCTTGTAGTGTAGATACGGACTACGGTATTTTGGAATAATGGCATAACCTCAGAAACATACTACCTCTGACATACAGACCACCAAAAAGAAACACTCACCCACACATGGACAGACCATTATTTCAGGCATATGTACAATTAAAATTTAATATTTTTGTTGAAAAATAAAACCATCAATGACTGTAGCCACTGAATGAGGGGTGCCCCAAGAGCTGGCTGGAGTATGTCTATTTCTCTGCCAGTTTTCTGCTCTATGTATAGTATGAAAGTAAGTTAAACTATTACAACTAAATTCCTGTGGGTATCCCAGAAACCACAGCTAATGGTGGGGACAATGAACACCAATATGTTCCATTTCTCCAAAAAAGATGACTGTTGATAACATGCTGTGTTCCAGGAGTGACATCAGTGTTTTATTATATCTGCACGTTGCACCACTTTCCAGGTAGGAATTCTACAAGTGCTCAGATCTGGAGATGGATCAGGTACACAAAACACTGAATTACTGTTTTTCAAGGCACCTACAATCTGGCCATTCTGTTCAAGCCATCTGTTCTAGAAGGCTGAAATAGCAGATCCCATTACAGTTACTGAATGATCTATTTCAAGCCTGGATTGTCTTTATTATCATTTATATTTTAGTATCTCGAGGATTCAGTCACCAGGCTCCCACAGAATGGGGGTGAGCAATAAGTGGCCCTCTGGGAGCTGCGAACAGCTGTACCTGCAGATGATCAGGTAAATAAAGCATCTGGCATCTAACCCCGTCGGGTCCATGGGTTGCTTATTGCCCACTCCTGCCACAGACTAAACATTTATTTGCCCCCAAAGGACTTAAAATTTAAACAGACAACACACAATGGGTTATGAAAGAAACAAATGAGTGGGGAAGGGCATAGGGGAGGATGAGGGAACAAAGCTTTGATGCTTACTAAATATTTTAATTGTGGTAGTAGCCTCAGATCAGCCAGGTTGGGACCCCATTGTGCTAGGCATTGCACAGAGCAACTGACAGTCTCTTTCCAAGGTAGATGATTTATCATGATGAGATGGGATGGCTGCCTAGCAGAAAAGGAGTTAAAAGCCGACCTAGAGAGGCTGTGCAAGAGGCCAGAACCCAATCATATCCCGGCAGGGTCATATAAGAAGAGCTTCAGGGCAGAGCAGATATCAGTAGCTGATTGGAGCATGAGGGGAGAAGACCATACTGCTAACAGAAGGAAGAAGTGCCAGCACCCTGGACAGAACAGAGCAGAGCAGAGCAGAGCAGAGCAGAGCAGGGAAGCGACAAAGAACTCCTGGCTTGCTGCTATGACTGGCAGGTGAAGTCCTGATATAAAGGCACAGATGGTGTTTGGGGCTGCAAGGAAGAGGCCTGGGGAAAGGTATGGAGAGGTTGGATGGGACATAGCACATGACCACATCTACAGGGTCCCTGAGATGGGACCTGAAGTAGAGGGCAAGCCTAGGTCTCTCTCCTCCCCTTCCTTGCCATTGAGGAAGCAGCTAGACAACTGGCTCTGGTGTCACTGAAGGATGTGGCTGGACAGTGAACTATGGTTTCCCTGGAAGGGGAGAGAGCTAATTCCCAAGACAGGCAACAGGCGGCACCACAGTGAATCCACCCATCACACATAGATTAATGGTTTGAGTAATTTGTAATTAGTTGACGGCATTAATCGCAATTTTCCACCTGCCTCGCCATTCTCAGATGGCAGTTTTGTGTACACATCACAGTAGAAGTGAATTTTAAGGAGGAACCTGAAGGAGAATAGGATGGTGGCTTTATGGATTTCAATAGAGAGCCTTCCTCCACACTAGTGGCAGCCTGGGTGAAAAGATGAAGGTACATGTAGAAGAGGCGCACAAAGTATTTTACATTGGACATTTCATATGCTGTTGATTTGTGCTGAAAATCCATATAACCACAACAAGTGGTATGTTATACTTATTCATGTGTGTTAATTTACTTTTATCCTCTCAGTCCTTAGATTTTTGTTGAAAAAAGAAATCAATTGAAAACCATCTCCACCATGGGAGTGGTATCTAAGGATCACCTATAATACTGTGGTGGGACTGACATTTTTGGCGTGTGCCCATGGAGGTGCACACCTTAGAGCAGGGGTGCGCAATAATTTTTGGCTGGGCTGCCCCGGAAGGAGTGGGACCTTTTCTGGAAGGGGAAGGGCCTGATCACTTCTGGGCTTCCCCACCCCGAGACCATAATTGGTCTGGGGTGGGGGAGTCCCTTTGCCCCCCCTTCCCATTAGGCAACCATGCCCCTGGGAGGGCGGGAAGAGGCTTCACATTCTCCCCTGCCCCCAGGTCCTGATTGGCCTGGGAGTGGTGGGAGTGTGCAACGCCTCCTCCCACCCGACACCCGCCTTGAGAGGAGCATGGGGCACTTCAAAGTGCCATGCACTGCTCGCAGGGAAGGAGGAGACATTATGCGCTCTCCCACCCCCAAGCCCTGATTGGTTTGGGGGTGGGGAAGCTGTGCGAAACTTCCCTTGCCCTGCTCCCGCCTTGCGCAAGCGTATGGCACTTTGAAGTGCCCCAGGCTCCTCGCAGGGTGGGGGGGGGGGGGGAAGCTTTGCGTACTCCCCCATCTGCAGGCCCTAATTGGCCTGAGGCAGGGGAGTGGAAGGGCCTCTGCGGGCCGTATCAACCCACTTGGCAGGCCGGATCTGGCCCGTGGAGGCCCTTTTGCCCACCCCTACCATAGAGGGAACCCTGGTACCCAACTACATCGTCTGCAAATTTTGGAGGCTTTACAATTAAGTTTTCCTATTTAACATGCCTCTCTCCTAGCTGCTGTGTGAAAAGTCCACATAAATCACAGGACAATACTGATAACTGTGTAACTGATAGTCATCTTCCATGAGACAGCCTTCTGGAAAGGATTCGGGGGGAGGAATTCTCCACAAAGATCCCTGTGAAGAGATTTCCTAAAACTTCCAGCAGGTATGGGGCCTAGTCAGATGTCGAGCTTTTGAAGGAGACTTCTATTAGCAAAGGCTAGCAGGGATTTCTCCATGCTGCATCTTTTCCTGGAATCTCTTGAGGGGAGCTTTGTAGGAATGGTTAGAAAATTCACAGGCGTATTTTAGGATGGTATACGGAAGAGGAGATCCTTCCTGCAGACCTCACAGGATGCCTTAAAAAGGGCATTCTAGTGAAGTCTAGCCAACTAGTTCTAAAGCACTTAATTCCTTCCCCCCCTGTTTTTTCTCTTTTAAAATGCTACATGAAGAGAATATTGAAAGTGCACAACTAAGCACACAACATACAGGAAATGACAAATACTATACATACAACCACAACTCTTTGCACATGTGCATTCTGTCCATGACCCCCTGCTCTAATGCATTCTGATCCCTTTATAATGCTCCCCTAATGAAGAGAGAGTGGAAAGCAATTAGATCTCTCCTCCTGGACATTCATTTGGTCCCCAGCTAGCTCTTACAATATCTCCCCTGCACTCTCTTATGCAGGAAGTGTAATTGATGCAACGTGTTTAAAACGAGGGTCAGTCAGATAAGAATATTTTTTAATCACTGTCTTCAGTTTCCTTGCAAATTAACAATCAGCAAACATGGTAGATCACTCCAAATTATCTCAGGATTGCCTCAAAAGAATTAGTAAGAGTGTGAACTTGCTGGCTAATTCTGAAATGAAATAGTAACATTTGAAAGTATCTTTCAAAATAAATTCCAACTTTCTAAACCTCAAATAACCTTTCTTAAAATCCAAAATAGCATGTTCTTGGCTTTAACTGAGGCAGTTCACACCAATAAAGAACACCTTGTCTAAACATGAAATGCACATAATTGAAACAGCCAATATTCACTACTGTGCCTTCTAAATTCTGGCCAATCAGCGTTGATTGGAGGCCTGCCTCCTT